TCCTAGTGCTCCTTTCAGAAGGACAGAAGGTATTTCTGCATCTCTTTAGGTGAGGGGTGAAGGGTCAAAGGAGGTGAGGAAAGATGTCAGCCCCCAAATCCACGGGAGTCCATCTCAGGAGAGTCTCCCGGTAACTGTGGTATTAAGAGTTTTGCTTCATTCCCCTTTAGTTCTGTGTGGCCACACAGTTCCAAGTCCAGAGGACCCAAGTTCATTCCGTGCATACACCCAGCCCTTTCCATGAGAGACCTGAATGTCAGGCATCCAGCATGGTAACCGTGGTATTAAGAGTTTTGCTTCATTCCCCTTTAGTTCTGTGTGGTCACACAGTTCCAAGTCCAGAGGACCCAAGTTCATTCCGTGCATACACCCAGCCCTTTCCATGAGAGACCTGAATGTCAGGCATCCAGCAGCATGCCCATGACCACCACTAACCAGTGCTGATTCTCAGGCCTGACCAGACCCCCCACTCCCCTGCCCCCAGCACACCCCAGCCTCCCAGGGCAGACCCTGCATGCAGAGACTGGCCCACTGCCCTGTGATGTGAGACTGGTGCTGCCTTTGGCTTACAAACATTGTGCTTAAATGTGCCGCTCAGAGAAGAACAGGGCATCTCTCCCAGCACAACCCCGCCCCTGCCTCTAGAACAGAGTGAGCCTCAAGTATGCTGTCTTCAGGCTTTGGTCCAGAACTAACCAAACTGATAGGATGACCCATTTCACTGCCCCAGCCTGACCATCTAACCCAAAGAGTCTCAGCCCACCACAGTAGTTACGTGATCCTAATGACGGCCACCTTCTCATGCCCAGAGGAACCCTCTGGAGTCCCGACTCACTCCAGGTGCCAGGTAACCAGAGTGAATTCCTCTAATGACCCCATTGCTGGGATGAGGAGCACTGGAGAGGGCACAGAGCAGACACCTCGACAAACACTTATGAGTTCAAGGATATGGGAGATCTCGGAAAAAGAAGCAACCAGAAAGCCTTGGAAAAGGCAGCGTCTTTGGTGCTGACGCTGGGCAGAACACCATAGTCACTTTGCAGTGTTCGGCTCTCAGGGCCTAGCCGGTACCTGGCATCTCGTAGATGCTCAACAAATACTTGAAGAATGAATTAATGAATAGATGGACATGAAGCTTAGTTTGTGGGGAGAATTTTACATTCTCTAAACATTTGGGGGATGAATGAATAAAACGTAGGCTACTGCTGGTGTCCACTTCAAGACTCGACCCTCTCTTGTGCCCTTTCTCTCCTGGACTTCTAGCTCTTTGATCATAATTATCATATTTCCTTGTTGGGCAGATTTTTAAAATAGACTTCATTTTGTAGAAGTTTTAGATTTAGAGAAAAATTGACAAGATAGTGCAGAGAGTTCCCACTTTTCTCTGTGATTAACAGCTGACATGAGTGTGGCATGTTTGTCCTGATTGATGAACCAACGTTGATACAGTAGTAGCTAAATTCCATACTTTATTCAGATTTCCTTCATTTTTACCTGGTGTCTTTTTCTGCTCCGGGATCCCATCCAGAATCCCACATGACATTTAGTAGCCAGGTCTCCTTAGGCTCCTCTCAACTGAGCCTTTCCTTGTTTTTTGATGACCCTGAAAGTCTGAGAAGTACCGGCCAAGCATTTTGTAGGATGGCCCCTCTAGTGGATTATGTCTGCTGTTTTTCTCAGATTGGTCTGGGGTTACGGATTTTGGGGAGGAAGACCACAGAGGTAAAGGGCTGTTTTCATCACCCCTTATCAAGGGTACATTCCGTCAGTGTGAGTTACCACTGTTGATGCTGACCGTGGTCACCTGGCTGAGGTCGTATTTGTCAGTATTCTCTGCTGTAATCTTACTTTTTCCCCCACTTTTCATACCGTATTTTTTGGAATGAAGTCAGCGTGAGCAACTCTCACTTAAGGAGTGGGGTGTTTTGCCTCCCCCAGATCATTGTTAAGTATTTATAAATACATGTAGAATTGAATTAAATGACCACCACCACCAAAAAAAAAAGCCTTACAGAAGGGTCTACAGGCGGCTCAGGCCTCTCTGCAGGGCCACCAGAGTCCAGGAAATGGATTTTCATTACTTCGCTCAGAGTTGATTAAGCAAGAGCTGACTCACCAGCAAGGCTCACAGGACAAACCCTGGTGCAGATGAGAGAGACCAGTAACGTTTGCACAAAGCGTTTTTGCAGATAACAGGTCTCATCTTTTTATGATCAGCAAGTACTTATCGAGCATTCACAATGGGGTCACAGAGATGATGACATCTGGTCCAACTAAGTCCACCTTAGATGAACTGCATTAGTTTTCTAATGTATTAGTTTTCTGTTGCTGCAGTAACAAATTACTGCAGCTTAGCGGCTCAAGACAGCACTGTTCATTATCTCGTGGTTTCTGTGGGCCAGAAGTCCAGGCACAGTGTGGCTCAGCTGGGTTCTCTGCTTAGGGTCTCAAGGGCAAAAGCAAGTTGTCAACAGGATCGCGTTCCTTTCTGGAGGCTCTGGGGAGCAACTGCTTTCAGGCTCATTCAGGTTTGGGGTAGAATTCAGTTCCTTGCTGGCTGTTGGCTGGGGGTCACACTCCACTCCTAGTGTGCTGCCTGCATCCCTCTTAAGCTTGCCACATGGCCCCCCATCTTCAAGCCAGCAGCAGAACACCAAGTCCTTCTCAGGCTTTGGCTTCCTCTTCTCCCACTCCCTCTGAAGTCCCCTTCTGACTCTGCTTTTAAGGGCTTGTGGGATTACACTGGACTCACATAATAATCCAGGACGATCTCCCTAGTTTCAGGTCAATTAATCAGTAACTGCTATGGTGTGAATGTTTGTGTCCCCCCCAAAACTCATATGTTGAAACTTAACCCCCAAGGTGATAATACTAGGAAGTGGGGCCTTTGGGAGGAAACTAGGTCATAAGGGTGGATCCCATATAAAAGAGACTCCAGAGAGCTGCCTGGCCCTTCCTCCATTGAGGACAGAGCTAGAAAGTGACATTTATTAAAAAATGGGTCCTCATCAGACACTGAATCTGTCAGCGCCTTGATCTTGGACTTCCCAGCCTCCAGAACTGTGAGAAATAAATTTCTATTGTCTGTAAGTCATCCAGTTTATGGCATTTTGTTATAGCCATCCGAATGGGCTAAGATAGCAGCCTAATTACTCCTGCTAAGTCCCTTTTGCCATGTAAGGTAACAAGTTTATGGGTCTGGGGTATCTCATGATATTCACGGTTGCAGGGATTAGGGCATGCGATCTTCCAGGGGGTCTTATTATTCGTGCTTCTCCATCACGAATGTGCATAGGAATCACCTGCAGATTCTGGCTCAGTGGGCCTGGGGTGGAGTGTGCATTGCTCCCAGGCTCGCAGGCGATGCTGCTGCTGCTTGTCTATGGAGCACATCTGAGTGGCAAGGCTTTAGGCTAGAGGAAACACATTTCAGCCAACAGCCCAGGTCAAACCTGAGAGAGAATTCCCATAAATGAAACCTGTGGTTCTTAAGGGAGCATCAGCATCACCAGAAAACTTGTGAACATATAGATTCCTGGTCCCCACCTCCACAGTTTCTGAGTCAGAAGGTCTGGGATGAGACCCAAGAATCTGCATTTCTAACAAGCTCCCAGGTGATGCTGATGTTGCTGGTCCGAGGACCACACTTTGAGAGCCACTGCATTAAGCCATGTGAGTGTTAGGTGAGAGGAGCCTTTAACCCCTTTGGTATAGGCATCTTCTTTGAAAGTAGAGTCCCTTTTTCCTTCCAATATGACAGCACCTCTGTAAATCATGTCTAAGATGACATTGTGTCCTCTGTGATCTATCCACTTAATCAAAGGGTTTGGATTTTCTTTTCATATGCCTAGCTGTATCCTTCTGCCTTGGGAGAACAATGAAGTACGTTTAAGAACAACTCGAATCATTGACATCACTAGTGGTCCCAAACCTGTCTTTTAAAACCCAAAGTAGTATTCATTATTTTTATTACAAAAGTAATGCTTGTTTGTTGTACAAAATATAAATAAAAAGAGAAAACATCATAATCTAACCCCAAAGTAACTACTCTATTCTAGACCTTTTATTATGCATGTCTCTCAATCCGAATATATTTGTTGAGTTTTATTTTCAAAAGGACATGTTACAAACTATGTTGTAACCTACTTTTCATACTTAACCTATTGTAAATATGTTTCTATCTAACTCCCTTTACCCAGTAAAAAGCAACAAAATGCTGTGGGCCCTGTCTTTCCCCAGTGCACCTGCAGCTGGAGGTCGGTTAATGAACAGAAATGTGTCCAAAGTGGGAAGAGGCAAAACGTGAAGGATGAGGGTCAGTCAGAAACCGGCCCCTTCGTCCTTGAGCCATCAAGGTCAGCTGTAGTTTTAGAGAAAGTGATTTAGCTGAGCACTCCCGGATCCGGAAGTGCCTCAGCACCAGAATCAGATTCCTAAGAAAGCTGAATCAGGCACATTGTCTTGGTAATAGAGAGCACAGTCACAGGATCCGGGGGGCTTCCTGCGGCTAATGTCAGGATAATTAGCTGCTTCCAGAATTTTAGAGTGTTGATAAAGATGGGTTTGGGGTAAAAAAACTTGTTTTTCATTCTACAAGCTGAAAAATCTGCTTAGTAAATCTGGATAGTAAGTAATGTCAGGATAATTAGCTGCTTCCAGAATTTTAGAGTGTTGATAAAGATGGGTTTGGGGTAAAAAAAACTTGTTTTTCATTCTACAAGCTGAAAAATCTGCTTAGTAAATCTGGATAGTAAGTGATTAGGGCAAGACAGAAAAATTTAAGGACAAATGTCTTCAGCTTTCACTGGTGAACCCACTAGAAATAAACAGTGGACAAACAGCAAGAAAACCCAGGCCTGCTAGGGTAAAGTGAATATGTACCATCCAGAGAATATTTCTTGGAACCTGCAGCAAATCTGTGGGCCCCTCTCCCCTGGGAGGGTGTGCACATTCCCATGGTGATGGCCCCCAATAACGCAGCTCCTCTTTCTTTTCCGCAGAACGAGGTGATCAGCCAGCAGCTGTGTGTCATCTTCACGCACTGCTACGGGCCCTACCCCATCCCCAAGCTCACGGAGATCAAACGGAAACAGACCTCACGCCTGGGTGAGTGGTTGCCCAGGCCTGTGTGGGCTGTGGCTTTGTGATTTAAGGACAGGGAGCAAGCAGGTGCCAGAGAAAAAGGGTGGGTGTTTTCAAAGGCAAACAGGAGATGGATACGGGAGTCAGGACGATAGAGATCAGAACATCTCCTTTATCGTGGGATAAAACTGCTTGGAGAACATACTTTGGGAATGTGGACAAGGACACTTGTCAATATCTCATCCCTCGAGTAAGTGGACTTTCTCCTGCAGTCACAGACAGTGGGGACTGCCCAAGGCCTCCTGATCCCATGCACAGGTGGATTCTGAAAGAAGGTCAAGCTGTGCATGGCACCTCTTTCCCCAAACTCTCCCCTCTGAGAAGTCCCTCCTCCTCCTCCCTGCAGAGGAAGGAGCAGGGGACAGTGAGGGGCCAGCCATATTCCCCTAAAGGAAGCCCTTCTACAAAGAACCAGGAGAAGAGGGGAACAAAGGCCCCTTACACACACCCACAAAACCATAAGGGGGACTCACCTGAGCCAAGGAGGCTGGGTGCTCTGAAGTGAGCATGAGAGTAACAGCAGTCACTTTCTCTTCTTCCTCGAGACTTGCACTGAGCCGACGGTAGCCATGCACTTGACCTATCCTATCTCAAGTCATCTTTGGCCACCCCCATAGGCAGGCACTGGACTCATCCCATGTTATGGCTGTGATATCAGTACAGGGTGGAGCTGGAACTGGAACCCAGGTCTGCCCAAAGCTGGAATTCAATCATCCTGCAGGCCTAGCTTCTGAGATTTTCCATGAGAAAGCTTTCCATCAGGCACCAGGTTCATTCAGAGGATCCTGGGGCTGCTGCACCCTGCTTGATCAGCCTAGAGAAAAAGCAAAGAAATACCCTGCTGCTTTGAGGCCTGAAACCTGAGCCTTCTGTTGCAAAGGCCTATCTTCTTGCTGCCCGGGGAGTTATAAAATATTAAAGATAAAGGATTCCTTTTCCTATAAAGATTGGGGAACATTTGAGATATGGAAGCATCTGAAAATCCTACCCTTTAGCAAAACCACTAATTTGAAAGGGGGGAGCCAGTTTAAGTTAGTAAAAGGCTAAATTCATGGAACTGTTTTAAAGTATTTTATTTCCTGTCATGAATAACTTATCGATTTAAATGAGATGCAACTTTTTGCTAAAATGAAAAATTTAGCAGCTGAGTCAATGGTTGTTTATCTTTACATCCACGCATGTGGGAAAACTGAGATGTACCAAAGTCACAAATATTTCCACCTTGTAGAAAACAGGCATTGAATTGCCCAGTTGGTTCAGTTGGTTAGAGTGTGGCTTTGTAACACCAAAGTTGAGGGTTCAGATCCCCCTACCAGTCAGCTGCCAAACAACAACAAAAAAAACGAAAGTAGGTGTTAATCAAAATATTATCAGAACAATAAATTATAAAGCTCAATCAAATTAATAGATGTTAGAGATTGAGGGTTACATTCCCAGGACATAGCAGTAATTTCTGACATCTGGGTGCTAAGTCACCCCAATTAGAGTGGACATTTATAAGGGCTGTTGCAAAGACACAGCATAAAATCTGCTTTCCTGTAGCTACAGGAGAGGAGGGAACATTTTCTCCTCCTGAATTTGCTGAGATTTCTTTCACCAGCAATGAAAAAGCGCCTGGTTTTCAGGCCAAGCATTAGAATTCCAATTTGTTAACAGTCCTCCAGGCTAAAAGGGGATCGATGTCCTCAGCAGGCTCCTAGAACAAGATTCTGAAGCAAGAGTCAAGGCAAGGCATTCTTTCATTCTTTCAAAACATATTAATTGAGCATCTACTATAATGGTGATGTTTACTGAGGGGTACTCATGTGTCAGCCATGCTGCTAAATGCTTTACATAAATTCATTTAATCCTCACTATTACTCTATGATGTAGGAGTACAATAGATATTACCATCCATTTTACAGAAGGGGAAACTGAGGCATAGAGAGGTTAAATAACTTGCCCAAGGTCACACAGCTGAGACTTCTGCTTCAGAGCACACTCTCTTCATATTTTCCACCACCTTTCTGTGCTAGACACAGAAGAAAGGTGAAGGGCAGAGTAAAAAGGTGAGGATACGCAGGGCCAGCCTGTGGCTCACTCGGGAGAGTGCAGTGCTGATAACACCAAGGCCACGGGTTCGCATCCCTATATAGGGGTGGCCAGTTAGCTCACTTCGGAGAGTGTGGTGCTGACAACACCAAGACAAGGGTTGAGATCCCCTTACCGGTCATCTTTGAAAAAAAAATAAAAAGGTGAGGATACACTGTAATGTGATGAGGCTGTAACGGGGATAGGACAGACGCCGTGGGAGCACGGCAGGGGGCGCTCGCTCCGCCTGGGGAGGGCCGGGGAACCGGGCAGGGCTTACTGAGGCAGGATGTCTGTGCTGAAACTTGAAGACCATGTAGGGGCTGGAAAAGTGTTCTTGGCAGAAGGAACCACAAGTGCGGAGGTCCAGAGGTGAGGGAGCATGTAGCACCCACAGGGAACTGACGCAGCCACGTGTGGCTCAGGCACACGCACAGTTTGACAGGGGGTGTGACTAGGGAGAGGCCAGAGAAGGCTCAAGAGCCCAATCCCAGGCGGCCTTGTTAAGAAGTTTGGACTCTATCCTGGGAGCACGGGGGAGCACGGGGGAGCTATCGAAAGGTACATAGCAGAGGACGGGTGTGATTAGATCTGGCTTTAGGAAGGCTGGCTCCAGAGTGAGGTGGACCGTCAGACGGGGGGGCCCAGAGTGCAGGCAGGGAGGCCAGCAGAGGCTCCTGCGGTTCCCAGAAAGAGATGGCGTGGCCCAAGCGAGGGTCCTGGCAGAGGGGGTGGAGGGAAATGAGGGATTCGAGAAACACGGAGGGGGAAGAACTGAGAGGTGTTTGTGGTGGACAGGGTGTGGGTGACCCCAGGAGAGGAAGCCATCCTGTTGCCTTTGGATCCCTGCCTTGGGAACTGGTTGGCAATGTTCGCAGGAATGAGAGGCACTGGGCATGAGCATTTTGTGGGAAGAATCTCTTTCTACATGAGCTAAGGATGCGGTGGGTCCACAGACTCGAGAACCTGGGTGTGGACACCCCAGACAGGTCATCTTAAAGGTTAGCTAAGAGGGTGGGTGACCTAATAGCCCCACCAGAGGTTAGAGCCTGTGCTTCTTGCCTGGGTGGGGACTGACTCAGTGGCTGAGCGGCAGGGTCTGGAGGACAGCGGGTGCTGCGGATAGTCCTAACAAGGCAGAAGTGCTGATCTGAGGACAGACCAGCATCTTCAGGAGCCGCAGGTCTAAGTGGTTGCAATGACAGACAAGTTGGAGGATCCTAGTGTTTAACAATGCAGGCCACTGAATCAGAATACCTGAGTTCAAATCCTGGCCTCTCCACCCATAGTAGCTTAAATAAGTCACTGTAACTTCTGTGTGCCTCAGTTTCCTCAGCTGCATGACAGGGATAGACACTGTGGTCCCTGCCAGCTTCCACAGTGCCTGACATATCATAAGAGCTCAGTATTACTTAAATTGTCTTTGTTGTTATTGGAGGTGAGGGCAGGGGACTGGCTCATTTGCCTCCAACCCTGGGAGAGAAGGGTTTGGATTTCGGATCACCTGGAGCACAGTGGCAGGGGGCAGCTCTGCTAAACCACTTCCATCAGGCAGGGAAGGCATTGAGCCTCGAGAAAGAGTGAAGGCAGGTGAGTGACGTTCTTAGAAACAAGCTGGGCAGATGTTACCTCTCACACCTGAAAGTCATCTGAACTCTAGCTATGGGTGAGTCTTCCATGGGGTAATATTACTGAACCATAAATAAACTATGAGGATTTCCTGTGAAAACTGAATTTTAGTGACTTGAGTGTTCCTCTGATCAATTCTGTCTCCTGTTTGGTTACTGTCTCATCAATGAGTATTTTATCATCATGGTTTTCCTGTCGGCTCTTCTGTGCACTTTCTACAAGAGAAACCCAAATTTCACACTTCTTTTTGTTAAAGCTACCCATTTTCCCTTTCCTATTCTAGATCCTCATTTTCTTAACAATAAAGAAATGTCTGATGTTACCTTTCTGGTGGAAGGAAGACCATTTTATGCTCACAAAGTGCTGTTATTTACAGCCTCTCCAAGGTATGTATCATCAGTTTTGAAAGCAACTGAATTGTGACTGTGGCTATTGCTGTTACTAATTTTCTAAGTTCCATTTTGGCGGTATCTTCATGACACTGGCAGATTATCTTGTCAAAATCAAGGATTCAAGAGCACAGGGCAGCCACTAGCATAAACAGCCTAGAACGCAAGGCATTCTTTCCTCTGGGCAGAGAGCGCCCTGCACCAAGGGCAGAGCTTTGTGAGCAGAGCATGGATTGGATTTTTGGCTCCCTCAACCAGGTGCCCTTGTGCAGTGAACAACCTGAGACCCCATACACGGCAGCCTTGAGAGGCCCACTCTCCAAATGTCAGGGAACAGACTTTGACATAAGCCACGAAATGCACAGGTCCTGACCTTCCTTTTCCCTAACTCTGGAGTTAACAGACAACAGCAGCAATAGGAAGAAATTGCTCACCCTGCCTGCTAGCTCTGCTACTGACCTTTCTCCTCCTTCCAATTTGAGTTGAGATTAGGTTGGCAATTTAGAAGCATATTATCTGAGGACCCTAACAGGGAGCAGTGAGGCTGGGCAGAGGAGAATGATGCTGAATTGAGGAGGAGGCAGTCCCGCTGGGTGGTGAGCAGAGAGAGCCTGATTTGGGTAAGGCCACTGGGAACCCAGAAATGGAGCCGTCTCCCAGGAAGTTTCCTAGGTGACTGTGTGTGACCAGCACTTCCTAGGTTCCTGAAGGCATCCCAGCATCTCCAGTGCCTCCCCTCCCAAAACCAAATACACACCCTGGATGTCTGCTCTGTCGGCACAAGGAAGATACACTCTCTCCCTTGCATATGTCTCAGTTGTGACGCCATTGACAGACCAGATCGATATGGTTAATTTCTTGGTTTTGACAAAGGTTCCATGGCTATGTGAGATGTTAACATTGAGGAAAACTGGGTGAAGGGTAAACAGGAACTCTCTGCACTATCTTTGCAACTCTTCTGTAAGTCTTTAATTTCAAAATTAAACGTTTAATTAAAAAAAAAAAAGATATATCTTAGCTTATTCCTTGTATTGAGTATCAGTATGTTCCATTGATAGGGGTCTCTTCCCCAAGGAGCTTATAGTGTAGTCAATGGGCAGAAAAGTGCATTGAAAACCCAACACAGAAGGTCGCTCATAGGGAGACCATTAACTAGTCAACAAATATGCAAATTGATTTAATACCTGAGATGTGTCAGGTTCGGACTGGGACAGGCTATCAAGATGCAGCAATGATGGAAACGACTAGAGTCCCTGCCCTCGTGGAGCACAACTTGTGGGGGGGGGGG